CAAACTTGTTGAACTTGGAGTGCATTGCCCGCCGCATAGACTCCGTATAAAAAGAAAGGAACTCGGCTTGTATCCAAGACCGATCGGACGCCGAGAGGCCATCCACATCGTAGCTAAACAAAGGGTGATCGGCCGGCAAGTCCTCCACCGGAAGGGGGTCATCCACCGGCGACGCCGCGCGGGAATTGGGGGTCATTGCCCCCGCGTCGGAGTCCAAGTCCGCGGCCGAATGTGGAAGGCGCGGAGATTCCACCGGGGAGGAGGTAGAGCGGCTGGGATTGAGGGATCGCCCGGCGTGAACATGCCCGGTCGGCGCCGAATCATCATCTCGGCCGACGCTTGGCGACAGAGCCTTGGAAACCACATCGCCGACGGCCAGTCCGGTGCCATGACCACCGCCTCCACCACCGGTTGCCGCTGCAGGAATACCACTAAGCGCAGGAGCAGCGACCATGGCGGGTTGGCCTAGTTGGCCTTGCCCGTTCAGTCTTGGAGGAAAGCATCCACTCCCACCGAATGGGGCTAGTGATGCCTCGAATTGAAGGTGGGACAGAGGGAATTCTGATGGGAAGCAAACCAGTCGATGGTCCACTCCCCAAACCGCCGGGTAATGGCCTTGAAGATCGCCGAATGGAGGCGGTAATCCTCCCCCCCGCGAACCCGGGACAGGTGGTCCGGAATGGAATTCTCCTTGGAGGGGATATACTTTGGATCGAGAAGCAACTCGCGGGCTGAACAAATCCACTGCAGTTGGCGGAGTGGCCCGCGGAGCTGGTCGGAACCCATCGTCATGCTGCGGATACAAAAGAGGACCACCTGCGAATCCATGAGCAGGCGGAGCCGAGCCGAGATCGAGGGGGAATTGGCCGGGAAAAATGCCCGAATGGCCAGCGCCACCGCCTGCAATTCACGCACATTAATGTGCATCAACGATCGATCAAAGAAACTCCTCGCCAACTTGGGATGATCAGCGTGAGGGGGAGTGAAAGTCGCACCCCAACCCGTCAAGGAGGCATCCGTAGCTAAGGTACCCGCAAAGGGCACCGCGTCGGGATTGAGGGGGCGGCCATCACAACGGTGAAGATGGACCCACACCTCAAGATCGAGGCAAGCTTGCGGGGTCAATTGAAGTCTATCCCGCCAAGAGCGCTTGGTTGGTAGCACCGCATAAAGGCTTTGGAGAAAAAAGCGGGCAAGGGGAAAGGCCATATAAACCAAAATGGCCAGCCCACAAAAACGAGCCAAGTCGCGAGCCACCACCCATCGCCAGGCCCTAAGGACCAGGGCCTTTTCGGGCAATAAGAGCCGCCTTGTCCCGGGGAACGAAAAAACAGCAAGCCGTGGTGTCCACCACTATGCCCAGGTGCCGCTTAACCTGGACAGGTTCCCATTGGTATTTGCGGTCCTTAAAGTGAATGCCTAAGGCCCCAAAAATCTGCCTAACTAGTTGGGCCCATTCCCGCAATTTTTGCGGATCGCTCAATGCCGCCAGGAAATCGTCCTAATATGCCAGAATAATGGCGGGGTCATCGACCGTATAGCGGAGATAGTATCGCCGGATCGAATCATTCCCCGCAAGATTGCCAAATCAAAATCCCCGTGCCGCTTTGGCACAAGAATCAGGGGATCGAAGAAAACGAGTTACCACCAATATGAAATAGGTGAAAAAGTAAGGGGATAGAGAAAGCACAAAGGGAAGAGCACGACAAGCAAAAACCTCGCCACCCATTCGAAATTGTTAAAAACACTCGTCCTCCATTCACATCCGCAAGTGATGGTAGGCATCCTTAACGTCAAAGCCCACTAGAAAATCATCCCGCTTCAACAAATGGCCAAAATCCCGTAATTTTTCATACCGCAAACCCAATTTGCGGAGATGGCGGTTGATCCGGCGCAAGTCTATGCACAGTCTATACTTCATGACCCCGTTCTCTCGTCCCTTTTCGATTATAAAAGCCCAGGAAATGCGAGACGTGGGGCCAGTATCTACCTTGATGATGGCGCCCATACTCAAATACTCCTCGCGGAGGGACGCCCAGCCCGCCTGCTCCTCCTCCGAACGGATTGGGTATTCACCCTGGTCGAAGGGCGGGGGAGGACCCTACGGGCCCCATGGCAGCGGGACGCCTGAATGGATCCAGCGGAGGATGTGCGATGGCACTCCAATCCTCCGCCATGCCGAGAGGCATCCCCGAGTATGGTTATACGGAAAGTCGGTCACGCGTCTGGAGGTGGATGCGCCACCTGCGGTGGATTGCGCTTCTTGCTGCGCTTCCCCGACAGCCCCCTGAATGGGGAGGAGGATCGCCGCCTCCCGCCTTGCCCGCGTGGCTGGCCGCGGCCGCCTTGGTCGCAAGCTTGACCTCTTGGGTAAGGAGCTCCTTGCGGATGGCGCCAAGCGTCCTGTCGATGGTCTCGGTGGTGAAGCTGCCTTCGGGTTTGCTGAGGCGGATCTGAGCCTGCAGCGCGCGCCAGGATCCTTCGAGACCGGTGCCGCGGTGCTTGGTGTGCACTTGATGAAGGCGTAGTTGATCCACCTGCCATTCGGTAATGGCCACCGAGGCGTAGACATACGGGAGGTGGAGGTCGCGGATCGAAGGAGGGAGACTCGGATGGGTGACCAGGTCGACGAAGGCGGCCGTGTAGTCAAATTGCCATGCGACCCACGGCGCCCAGCTCGCGTACTCCTGGAAGTAGCCAGAGTTGGGGCCCAGGACAGTCACAACAGTCTGGCCCTGACCCGTCTTCCGTACGTCGAACCAGGCAGGAAAAGACGTGAAGTCAAGCCTGGCCACCTGGTTGTTGACTGACCGTGGGAGTAAGCGGGGGTCGGAAACCCACATGAGCTCTATGGGTCGGTCAGGGAGGCGCTGGTTGAAACGAAGCGCCTGCGCCCGCAGCCACTCTTCGGCAGGGCTGGGGTTCATACAGAAAGGACTCGGCGCAAAGGCCGGAGGGTCGAACCACTCTGTGGTTCCGGGTTGTGCCAAAGGTTGGCGCGAAGCGAAACAAGATAAAGGGGGGTGCCAAGGGTCGTGCCTAAAATAGCCGCTCCCACTTGCCGCCAAACTCCCCGCCAAACCCAAGGGCCAGCTTGACCGGTCCCCCTGGCTGCGCCCAAGGTACAAGGATCAACCCGACAGCCCTTGGATGCGTCGGGCAGCACTGACCCCGAGTACAGGGGTGACAGAAACCGGAGTATGGATGGCCCAAACTGTCCCAAAGGGTGGAACGGCCCAACCTCGCCATTACGCGCCCTCCCAACCGTCGCCCTTAGCAAAAACTCATTAACAAGATAGTTAATTCTATAAATCTAAGTATATCGAGTACGCGCTGTCGGCGCGGTCCCCCCTTGGCCGCGTCCAGGTACCCTGGCCCGCGCTCTAGGGCCTCTCCAGTGGAAGCGTGGTCGTCCTCGTCCGGACGGCGTGTCCCGGGCTCTCTCTGGCCCGTGGGTGACGGCCGCTCTGTGCGGTCCCGTCCGAGGCGCGCGGCTGCTGCGCTCGAGGAGGCAGGGAGGCAGGCGTTCTAGAACAATCGAACTACAATCGGCGCCGCCGCCAGGCGCTCTTACATGTGGCGGCCAAAATCATCAAAGTCATCATATTCATTAAGCATGTTCATTTTGGCCGAACCCGTTTTCCGGCTAAAGGCCTCGCTACGCTCGGCCCTTATGCCGAAGTCGTTCCGGCCTGCTCCGCTTCGCTCCGCATACGGCCTACACGACTTTGGCAACGGGCCGAGCTTCGCTCGGCAGAACAAGAAACCAACGGATCGTTACCACACGCGCAAAGGTGGACAACGCATCCGTGGTGATCGGACGGCCTGCATTGTTGGTGATCGGCGTTTACTCCGACAGGCAGCCGAATCTATTTCTAGGAGTTGTTCAAACGTAGCAGTGTGCATCACTGCTTCCATTTGCTGCATGTGAACGTGGTGGACCTACGTACATTGTCCTCCTTGATGCCTTGGGCTAGGGATTTTGTGCCAAACATGGTGAGGTCAATATACACCGCTAGCAAGGGATGCTGTTTGACTATCCAATTTCAACAGAGACGTGTGACGTGACCAGTGCGTCGAATTTTCACGTTGCTTGTAAGGATGTTCATTCATTGATTCTGCACGTGAACGTGGGGCAAGGAATCTGCGGAGTTTTGGTACAAGTTCCAGGGGAGCCAAGGCTTGCGCTGTTATGGGCGCCATGGCGGACTTTTCTTGTTCAGAAGGCACCCTCCTTACCTCAGGTGGCGGTCTGTGAGCACCTCAACTTTGTATGTTCCTACCCGCCCATTCTTTTGAAAGCGAATTCGAATTTATCGATGGCTTCAAGTTTAAGTGCTGGAAGTCCGGATTTTGGTTTGTATCGCGAATCCAAAGGCAAAGCGAGTTCACGGTCGTGTGCATTTGTACGAAAAGAACACTGACGGGAATGCCGCTAACTCACTTGATGAGAATGCCATTGACACACATGGTGTGCTCGTCGGGCGGGGAGAGGGGTCCCGTTACGCTCTCCGACACGAAAGCGGTCACGGTCTGCCCATATCGTAAGCGACTGTCCCGGGGAAAACGGTGGTCATTCGCCAACACCAACACACCAACAACTTGGGAGCCGCTTAAACCGCACCATCCATCCAATGCACCAATGGGCGGAGCGAAACCCTACGACCTGGCTGACCACCCCCCTCCACTCCGTACGAATCCAATGTGTGATTCGCGGAGACCCCGTCAGCACGCCTCACGAGCCCTTGTGTGGCGCCGCGCAGGCCATCACCTCCGCGCCGCCCTCCCTCGCCCAGAAACGCCCGTCCGGCGTCGGAGGACCTGACGATTCATCCGCCTAACTGCCGCCGCACACACGGCCGCCGAAAAGTGCATGTGCGCATGGATCTGCGGAGCAGGTCGGGTCACGGCCGGCCTTTGCAGCGCTCCACGCCGGACGACAGGCCCAGCCCCCGCGCTGAAATAGGCCCGCTCGCCCGCGCCGCCTCCCCGTCGCGGCCATGGCTCGCGGGCCCCCTGGCAGCCTCGTCTGGCGCGCCCTGGCCGCGCTGCTGCTGCTCTTCACCGGGGCCCGGTCGCAGGAGACCGCAGGGTCGGATGGGGCCCAGGATGTGTCGGTGTCGTCGGCGGCGGGCCTCCAGGCCGCCCTGTGGCCGTCCGTGAACCGAACGGTGGAGAGCATCACGGTGGAGAGGGACATTGCCCTCGACCGCCTGTCGCTGCTGCCCACTCTGACCGTCCGGGGGGAACTGAGCATTTGCGGCGCGGATCAGGACGTGAGGCTGACGGCTGTTGAGGAGTTTGCGATCCTGAAGCTGGACAGCAAGCTGACCCTCTGCGACATGACGATCGACCTCACGTTCGAGGAGCCCAGCCTTGAGACCGGGCTCGAGGACCTGTTGTTCGACCTGACACCGCGCGGCCGCCTGGACTACGAGGGCGTGGTGTTCCACGTGGGCCGGGGACTGTTCAACCGCATGCGGACCATGATCGAGGACGCATGGGCGGGGAGGAACGCCGGCCGGCGGCTGGACTTCCGTGGTAGCGTGGGCGCGACCACGCTCACGATCGACTTCGGGGCGATCGGCCAGGAGGTGGTAATGCGCGACGTGCTGGTGCGGTTGGAGAGGACACCCGCGGACATCCGGGCGCGCAAGGCGGTGGCCAACGGAGACGGGGGCTTCTCCACCGTGTTGGCGGCCGCCACCGAAACTGCAATCCCCCTGGAGCTGACCCTGGAGGGCAGCTTCGCCGTCCCACCGTGCCTGCTGGATGACTTGCAGTCCGGGGATCGCCTGGCCGTGCGCCGGCCGCTGACCCTGACGCCCGACGGGGATTCGTCGCCGCGGATCGTCTTCGCGGACGGCGACGGCATCTTCCAGGTGGACAGCCAGGTGCGGCTGGACGGCGTCAGCATGGAGGACAGGGCCCAGACGATCGAGCTGCTCGTCAACGGGACGGACGGGCCGGTCGAGTGCGAGGACGCGATGGCGTGTTTGAATGACGCCGCCAATGCCACCGTCACTGTGGCCATGGTCAGCCTTGCTGGCATGGCGTTCGACCGGGATGCGCCGGGGTGCCGGCTGGTTGCGCGGGACGCGACCATCTACCAGTCGTGCGAGTTCGTGCAGGGCTTCTCGTGGGCGGCGCTGTACCAGAGGAACCAGGAGCTGGCGGGCGGCGAGAAGTTCTTCAGGCGGGGCGTGTGGGACATGGAGGTGCTGGACAGGCAGAACATCATGTTCAAGCGCCTGGCGGGCTGGGGCCTGTGCCTGGAGAACACCATCATGACGTGCGAGGACGCGCCGGAGGCCGACATGATCGAGCCCAGGTGGGTGGCCCGTGCTTTCAAGAACGCGGGTGGGGTGGGGTTGTGTAGTGCTCGACCGTCGTTCTTCCTCCTGGCAACGCCTTTTTTCCTGGTTTGGGTTGTAGGTATGGTAGGGTCGCGGAGACCCTGCTTGGCGTATCAGGGCAAGCGGAAGGTCAAGGAACCCTCGACGCCCCTGTTAGTTCTGAAGTGTTGCTGCTGAAACAGGGGTCCACAAAATGGCTGAACTACCCTAAACCCTCAGGAAACAACAAAAGAACTGCAGCAACACTCGGCAGCTGCAATAGCTAGAACTTATTCCCTGCGTTGGTTGTTCCAAAAAGCTGTGTCAAACAAACCCTGGCAACCTTGCAGTCACAGAAAGATCCAGTTTATGTTTATTCAATTCCTTGAGTGCATAAGGCTGTGTGCAGAGACAGGAGCTTCCCCATTTCTCCCACTGTGGAGATGTCTCTGCTGGCTCGTGCCCAGCATACCAAGAGTTAGTGTCAGCTTCGAATGCGCAAGTTGGCTGTCAGTGCACCCCAATGCTGTCGTCGTGTGTGTTATCCTACCTTGCGATGGTGCAATGGGAGTTGCCTATTTTTATTATCTGCATTGAGAGTTGGCACCACAAGTTACTATTTTGCGTTTCAGTCATCTCTGGGATTGGAATGTGCAGACCACCCGATTGCACATTCACAGTTGGCATCCTGCTGACTTGTTTTTTTGTTGTTCTGATCTCAAGGTATGTCTTGTATGAAAGTTAGAATACTGCAGTGTCCTGATACCTAGCCTTGCTAAGACTCAAATTCGAATATGAAATGAAATATTGTTTCAACAGAATTTTGGCATACTCAGCTTGCAGTGCGTCGATTGTGACAGCACACATCGCATCCAATGATGCGATTTTCAGAGTGGAGAGATGTGTTTTTGGACTTTGTATTTAACAAATGTCCCAGACTTATCTGCTAGTTTGTGGGGCTGCTAGTTGTGACGACTTTGACGACTATGAGGAAGTTCTGGAGCCCGAGGAACCTGAAGAGCCTGAGGAACCTGAGGAGCCCGAGGAACCTGAGGAGCCCGAGGAACCTGAGGAGCCCGAGGAACCTGAGGAGCCTGAGGGTGAACCTCAAGAGGAGCCCGTGGAGGAGCCCGTGGAGGAGCCAGAAGAGCCAGAGACACTTGAGGAGCCCGTGGAGCCAGAAGACCCTGAGGACGAGCCTGAGGTTCAACCTGTGGAGCCTGAGGAGGAGCCAGTGGAACCTCAAGAGCCTGAGGAACCTGAGGAGCCTGAGGAGCCCGTGCAGTTTGTGGAGTCAGTGGAGCCAGAGGAGCCTGATGAACCAGAAGAACCTGCAGAAGTGCCTGAGGAGCTGGCAGAGCCTGTGGAAGAGCCTGAGGAGCCAGAAGAACCCATTGAGGAGCCAGAAGAACCTATAGAAGAGCCCGAGGAGCCAGAAGAGCCCATAGAGGAGCCAGAGGAGCCCATCGAGGAGCCAGAGGAGCCCGTTGAGGAGCCAGAGGAGCCCGTTGAGGAGCCAGAGGAGCCCGAGGAGGAGCCAGAGGAGCCCGAGGGGAGGAGCCAGAGGGAGCTCCAGGAGGAGCCAGAGGAGCCCGGGAGGAGGAGCCAGAGGAGGAGCCGAGGAGCCTCAGAGTGGGTTTTAGGAGCCCGGGAGGAGGAGCCGCAGGAGTCTTAGGAGGTTTCAGAGGAGCCCGAGGAGCCCGTTGAGGAGCCCGAGGAGCCCGTTGAGGAGCCCGAGGAGCCCGTTGAGGAGCCCGAGGAGCCCGTTGAGGAGCCCGAGGAGCCCGTTGAGGAGCCCGAGGAGCCCGTTGAGGAGCCAGAGGAGCTCGTTGAGGAGCCAGAGGAGCCCGTTGAGGAGCCAGAGGAGCCCGTTGAGGAGCCAGAAGAGCCTGTAGAAGAACCAGAGGAGCCCGAAGAGGAACCAACTGAGGAGCCGGAAGAGCCTGTTGAAGAGCCTATTGTGGAGCCCATCGATGAGGGACTCGTTACTGCAGCAGTGTCTCAGAGTGGAGACGGTGGATCTTCGGGGGGTATGAGTGCTGCAGGGGTTGTTTTGGTTGTCTTTGGGACCCTTGTGGCAGTTGCCTTGGGTGTCACTTACTTCTTCTGGAATAGGATAGTGGATTGTGTGGTGGAGGCCAGGGATAGGAAGCTCGACGACGTGGAGATGGGCGGTTACAAGCGAAGTGCTACAGGCGATTGGACATCCCGATCTGGGGGCGGAAAATCGCCTGATGGTGGGGGGACACCTCAATCTGTGCGGACACCTCCATCTGACAGGACACCTGCATTTGACAGGACGCCTCGTGGTGGTGGGGACTTTATGAGCTTGATGGATGGCAAACGGCACAAAGGTTTGAGGGGTAGCATGGAGAGCCTTGGGCGCAAAGGTTTGAGGGGCAGCATGGAAATCCCTCTGCACAAAGGTTTGAGGGGTAGCATGGAAATCCCTGAATTCAAAGCCACCAACATGGCCCCTAAAGCCGTCGCCGCTGCACGCGCAAGTGGCAGTGAGGACTGCTCTGCAAAAATTGAGTCTAAGATAGCTGTTGGCAGCAATGGGGTTGTCTACAAAGGGAAGTGGAAGGGCCTGACCGTGGCGATCAAGACCATGATTTTTCAAGACACGAAGGACTCAGCCAACAGGCAAAGGCAGCGAGAGGTCTTTGAGGCGGTCAACAGTGTAACCCACAAGAATATCGTCCAGACATATGGGTACTACTTCAAGAAGCTCGAGTCACCAGATGTGGCTGCCAAGCTGAAGTCCAGCAAGCAAGAGAATCCACACATCATGGTGGACTGGAAGCTGTACATAATGCAGGAGTTCTGTGAGGGGGGCAGCCTGAGGGACTGCCTCGAAGAGCGGCTGCGACTGCTGGATGCAGAAGGCCACCCAAGGCTGGAGAATCTGTGCGATATTGGCCAAGGTGTGGCTGCTGGAATGGACCACCTCCATGCACGACACAACATTGTCCATGGCAACTTGTGCACAAACAACATATTGCTGAGGCGGGACCCCTCTGACATACCCGGTTCACCAGGCATGCCGAAGATCGCCAACTTTGGGATGAGCACCAAGATGAATGTGTTGCAGAGCCACGTTTCGAACCACTGCGTAGGCACACCGTTCTACACGGCCCCGGAGGTGTCCCAGCATGGAGTTATGTCCAAGAAGGCAGATGTGTTCTCTTTTGGGGTGTTGCTGTGGGAGCTTTACCACTCAAAGAAGTGCTACCACAAGACTGAGAAGTCCGGACTGCAGTACGACCCCCTGTTCCCTAAGTTCCCCATCACCTGCCCGGCCCCCTATGCGATGCTCTGCTTCGTGTGCATTTCTCCGGACCCTCACAGCCGCCCTGACTTCAATTTTGCAGCAAGGACGCTTGCTGCACTGCAGAAGCAGATCAAACGTGGTGCATTCTTCAACATCCACGACGTGCGAGTCAGGAACATGCAGCTGGCTGCCAGCCTGGGCAGGCTGACAGCGAGGACGATGATAGATCTGATCGCTGAACGCTCGGGCATCCCTGTCAGGGATCCATCCAAAAGGAAGACCTCATCTGTGGCAAGCAGTGAGTCAGAGTCTGCCCAAGGCTCTTCAAGCGCTCACGGCCTGCGCAACATCGTTGGTGGACAGGACAGGGAGGATGAAGACACAGATTCTATGGGAGGTTCAGGACACCTCAGGCGGCCGTCAGTGACTCCATCGCACTGCATGGTCGCAGTATCTGTCGCCCAGGAACACATTCCCATTGCACCTGTGGGAGTCAACGAGGAGTGGGCAATATCGTGGCAGTGCAAATCGGGTGGCAAGCTGCCTTGGCAACACGCTGCATCAGAGGATGGCGCATCCCAGGAAGGGGCAGAGGACTCGACCAGTCAACGTTGGCCTTCCCCAGTAGCAGGGAAAGCGGCTCCTGTGAGCAGTGGGTCTGGCAAGGGCGCAAGCAGGTTCGCTCATACGAAAAAAGGTGGAGGGTACGGGGCCCAGATGGTTGATTCGCATCCAGGGAGCATACACGCTGCTGAGGCTCAAGTTGAATCCAATGGGAGCTCCACTCCAGGCTATGCACCAATGCTGTATACAGGGGACACAGATAACAACAGCAGCACAATCCAGTCCAGAAGGGGTTCATGCTCCAGGAGCAGTGAGATCCAGCGTGGTGCAGCAAGGCCAGCTCTTGAAAGGGCTTCTGGTGGCAGCCAGGCGAGCTGTGACGCACCGAATGGACCTGTGGATGTTGACCTGCAGTCGCCTTACTTTTTCCAGACGACGCTGAACGATGAGGAGGTCAATTCGCCCCCCGGGGTTGATGTACATTCTGGGCTGCTGACAGGAGTGCGGCAATCGGATGAATACTCTCCACAGCAATCAGGTGGACTTCGCTACAACTTTCCCAGCCTGTATTGAGCATGACCGACTTGTGTATGGCTCGAAGCCAGTGGGAGCATGTGCCTCCTCGCCACCCCTCCCCGCACTGATCTCTCACAGGGTGGGACACAGCGATTTCATGGAGAGCTGCTGTTGCTTCTGAGTGTGAACACATTATTGCGAATTGGCGACTTGGTCAGAGCAGCATGCAAACAGCACTCCATCTGATTGGAGACCATGTTGCCCATTGACTTGCAGTGGCCTGATGCCATGGCAGGCGTGGCATATCTCCACACAAAACACAAACTGGCATGAGCTTTGCATGCATGTGACTTAATTTCTTCGCCAGAGACTTGGCCAAGGGGTTGATGACATGACCCCACCTTTCGAGAATTGGCAGCTTCCAGGGAGCTGCGAACAGGGATTGGGGGGAGAAGAGGGAGGGAACCAATGAGCCATCAGTCAATTTTGAGAAAGTTCATAGGCAAGCCATTAACAGGGAGTGTTGAGAAGGGATTGTGGTGGCCATGACGTCTCCAAGCGTGCACAGTGCAACGCACGTGCGTGTGAGGATGCCGCAGTGGTACCCCATTGGTTTGGAACCGTGACAGTGGGTGAAAACTGGACTTTGAATCGAACGAGATTGAGAAGACTTATGTTTTGCTTTATTCTTTGGGTAGCCACTCTATGTACCTCCTATTTCCTGTTCTGTTCCTGCTTTCTTCATTCGCTGCACTGCCGCATTCAAATGTCTAAATGAATCAGAGTCGGAGTGGAGCAGTTGGAGCGCGTGCCACATTGCGTGTACCAGGCGCGCTGCATTTTGGGACAATCTTGACGTCTGGAATTGTGCCTCCGATGTGCAAGTGCCGTGTTTTGTCGTTGTTGGAAGAATGTAAGCAGCGAGTTTCAATCGAGCGCCTGGTGCCTGATGTATTCGATGTCGATCATTCCCCACCATTCAAGGCGGAACTACAAATCGGAATGCCCGCCATACCCCGGCTTGACATTGTCATGCCAGATGATGGGACCCACCAGGGCACGGCGATGAGAGAAAGGTACTGTGCCGCAAACGCGCACCTGGTGGGAGAAAACGGGGTCAACGCCCCTTACACATGGCTGCCCTTACATAGCCGCGTACGCAGTGTCACCCATCACTCACATAATGACCATCATCTGGCCCACCCACGTATCCTTGAGTGTATCTTAACAAATGAACAATTTACCCTAGATTACCTTACGCCATCCCTTCCTTTCTCCTTACGCAGCCTACTTCCCCCTCGTTTCCTGTCCGTTTCGATCACAAGCGTCCTCCACTCACGTCCCAACGGTTTGCCATTTGCCCCGATCCGGGGGCGGGCCTCATGGCCCGCCCCCACCCGGAACGGAGAGGGGCACCTGCCTCCCGCTTCAAGCGTTACGGCCCTCCAGCATTCCCTAATGGTTGCGAGCCCTGCTTTGGTACTATACTTGAGCGCCCAGCCACGCATACCATTGATTTGCCATTTCCTCCCAGAGGAGGCGAGAGGGCAGTTTCCAGGCATACCCAACTGTTCAGCCCAAATGTGGGCTGCAAAGGCAAAGCCGTATGCGGACTGATTGAGTTTGACAACTGGTGTAGGAAGTGCGAGATACCCGGGACGAGGTATAAGGGAACCAGTGGCGGCCGATAAGTTGGAAGAATGGACGACGCACGAAATGAGCGAGCAATACCGTGCAGCCCGAGAGGCGCACCGAGCGCAGATGCTACAAATTGCTGAGAAGAAATTACCACCACAGAAGCAGCGGATCGAGCAGGAATTTGTAAATTGGTGGGCCCATTGGCCGGTGGAATGGCAAGAGGGGTCACCACAACCAGAAGACGTGATAACCTTCCTGGAGTGGTTTGTGACAGCCCGACGGGTGCGGGCTCGAACCCACACGGAGAGCAGGGAGAAGGTTGCGCATTTCAACACCATGGAGAAGGAAGTCAGCCAATTGAGCAGCTGGTTCCGTCGGAACGGACGGGAAGGCGAGTGGCACAGCAACGGAAGTAGCGGGAATCCGTGTAAGTCTGACTGTGTCCGAACCTGGAAGAAAACTTACCGCGCCTCCCAACAGGTGCAGGGGGTCGGTGAGAGCAGCGCCGAGCCACTGAGGGTGGAGTGGTATCAGCGGATGCTAGCTGCCTGTTGGCGTGGAATCAACAACAATGACGATCCACTCCTAAGAGGCCGGGTAGCACGTGATGCGCTATTATTGACTTTCCTGTGGGAGACCGGGCAGCGAGTGAGGCCGCAGCTGGGGCCGTATACCAGGGATATGGTAGTGGACGAATGGGGCCGCCCGATTTGGTCGCCTGCAACTGGGAGGCGTCATATAGAAGGACCGATTATGCTCGAAGTATGGACCCTGAAAACTACTACCGAGTTCCGCCCGGGGCGAGTCGAGATAAGTAAACACCAGGACAGGGGTTTCTTGCATTGGTTTTACATTTTAGGGGATTGGCTGGTGCAACATAAGCGGGATGATGTGCAAGTATTACTACCCGTTTGGGATCGCCATGCTAGGCCTCGGAACCAATCGGTTGGGGCTATGGAAGCAACCCGGATCATGCGCCATTGGGCCCAGCAGGTACAGGCACCTGGCACTCTGACCTATTATAGTAGTAAACGAGGGAGTTTACAACATCGACATCATGAATTGGGAATGTCGATAGCCGATGTGGCGAGCCAGACACTATTACGGTCGTTGGATACCGTAGAGAGGTATGTCAATCGTGGGCGTCACTGGCATCGACAGGTTCAGGCGGACCGAAGGGCTAGAGCTAAAACGAGCGCCTTGGAACGCGGGCTAGAGACCGAGGCAGGCACGTGGCGCATATGGGGAGGCCCGCCGCCAGAGCTAGAAGCTCGGTTTGCTGCGTTGGACAGACTAGGAACCCAAGGGTCTGAGTGAGGAGAAAGGATCCCAGTGACCTTTAACTATCCAGTTAGTTACAAATACCCGTACCTATGGGTACCAGCCCGATGGCTTCGCGGACCCCACAACTCCTGATCCCCAGGTGAACCACGGGCAAATCTCCACTCCGCGCCAGATGATAGTGCGAGGCATAACTAGGGGCCCGCGCAGCCCGGGTAAGGCGGTGACAAGTGGCCCCCACACGCGGCATGCTGTGGGCAGTACCACGATAGCGGGGGACCAGTAGGTGTTGAGCCGCTGCAATGTTCGTCTGGCCAAGCGGGAGGGAGGGTTGATCCAAGCTAACCGCGCGCTGGACACCAATCGTGAGAGAAAGCATCCACCCCGACTGATTGGCCATCGAAATAAGGAGAGAAATACTGAGGGCAAACTGCCGTTGAGGCAGATGCAAATACGTCGAGTGCAATAGCGGCCCTATCTATGTCCAGCTGATGACAAATCCACCGGACGGCGTCGGGTGTGAAAACCCAGTCATGGGGATCATCAGGCTTACTGAAGAAGTCAGTCTGTGCTTGCCAGGGATCTTCCCTGTTGGATCAAACCAACTCCAGCTCCACGTCGTTCTCCCATACCAACAGGTGGACATCTCGGACGATCGAGAGGCATTCGTTGGCGCCCTGTTGTCGGGCAATGCAATATGTACTGGCCTGACTATCAGTATGGTAGAGAAGGCGATGTTCCTTCACCATACCAGGGGCGCAAGCGAGTAACGTATGCAGAACGGACTGAACTGCGAACAACTCTCTGGCCGTTGAGCTGGCACCGATGAGGTGCTGTGGAAGAGGTACCTGCAAAGGGTAGGGGAGTGTCCCGTGCGGGAAGAAGGCCCCTACATGTGTTTCGGACGCGTCCCCAATTGCCACAGTCGTCTTGTGGGCGCTAGGCCAATGCCGCCCCTCGACCCTATGGAAATTGTCACGCCACCACTTGAGTTCTTCACGCACCGACTGAGGTGTGGGAAAGATATCGTCCCAGGACTGAACCCTGACCAGGGCAAGAACCAGACGGCAAATAAAGACGGGGCACAGGTTGTCTGCCATGCTCATTGAAATAATGAGGCCCGCAACGTGGGCGAGCTGACGGGGAGTGATCTGCTCACAACTAAGTAGGTCCTGAACCGTAGAGAGGAAATATAGACGCTTGTCAGCAGGCACGCAGAACGCACCCACGCTTGAATCTATCTCTAAGCCGAGGAAGCGCTGTACCTGCCTAGCTAGGTATCTATAGGCGCCCAGTCGGCTTTCTTCGAAGAGAAAAAGGTCCCCAACACGGTCCCTACCAAGGCCAGGATGAAACCGTCGAGCATGCAAATCTGCAGGGTGACTGCGGCACCGTAGCGGTCATCAATTAAGAAGGCCATCAATGATCCGAAGTGCCAAAGAGGCCGGTAGAAGGCTGTCTGAATGTGGGTGAAAGCTGCACATGCAAATGCTAAGCCGAACGGGAGATGGGTCAGGAGCAGGGTCCTACCCTTCCAGTGGACTGCTAAGAACGGCTAGTCACACCAGCGCATGCACAAGTGGTGATAGCTGGATTTGAGATCGGTCACAATGGCATAACACCTGCGATGTGCGAATGACAACACATCGGACAGCTGCTCATAGTGCACTGGCTCGTACTGCACGAAAGAATTTACGTACCCGAGATCAGTGACCAGGCGCATTTTGGTGCGTTGAGTGACCACCGCCAGTGGGTTGACCACTTGCACGGGAGCGTGAACTGTAGGATCGAACAGCACAGCCATGCCCGTTTCCACCAAGCTGCGGATAGCGCTGTCGGTGAAATCCTCATGCGCCATGGCTGACTGACGATTTGGAAAAACGACCGAGCTGGGGCGAGTGACCGTTATGTGCCTGTACAGTTGATCAGGAGGCACCACCGCCGCAAGCATAGCTCGCACTTCTTTGCGCTTGGCCTTAAAATGCGGATGCAAATGTTGGCATGGCGACTCGGGGTCGACCCAGTCTATGGCATAGCCATAGCAATACCGACTCATCACATGCGGCCGTTGAGGCCAGCGGGGGATGCTGCAAAGATACTGCGACCAAAGCTTGGCAAAACGAGGCCAATTCCCGGCC